AACAGAAAGTGTGCTTCCAGCTGGTATCTGGCTGCCAGAAGGGAAGAAGTACACAGTGGCTGAGGCTTCTGTGCCTATTGCCAGTATTGAAACTTGTTCAGAATGGTCACTGTACTTCCCCTGGAGAAGAGAGGTGAGGGGGTACCAAGAATCCTAGACTGCTACCCCAGGGGGCTCCCTCCACATGGAAGCTAACACTGGAAGTGGGAGATGAGTAACCCCTTGCCAGGAACAGCCCTCTGAACTGCACTCTTCATTTATCTGTTCCCTTCCTCACTGGACCTCGGAGTGCTTGAAGCACCAGGCACCCAGCACAGCTCGGCAGACAGGAAGTGTTCAGAAATGAGAGGAACGAATGAACTCACATCTTCTAATGCCGGTATTTATTAAAGGAGCACCTTTCGAAAGCAGAGAAGGATGCCTTTTCTTACCTTACCAGACTCCCAGCACCCTAAACCAAGCCTTTATCATGTTTTCCGAGTCCTCTCCCTTTTCTGTACCACGGCAGGTTAGACAAGGGGCAAGGTATTGCCAGAGGATTCAGGAAACGTTTTACCCAAGGCCATGCTGTTCCCCCATCCCTGCCCAGGCCAACCCCCATGGCTGTGAACAGGTGAAGGAACCTCCGAGGAGAGTGCTGTGTGGGAGGGGCAGCTCCCAGCCGGGGTCCTGCTGCCCCATCTGTGATGAATGATAATGCTGCTGCACCACCTTGATGAGAATCACTGACAGCAGACTTGTGAAGTCACATTGGAAATTGGGAAGTACTTTACTTTGTGATATGGAAAGTACAGTGGAATCTGTAGAAATGTGCTAGAGGAAATTCATGGCAGTGAAGTGGTAACAGATCACCCAGACCCCACCAGGCTGACAGGAGGAATGTGGTGCCTCTATAGGTGCTCACTGGTGGTATCCCAGATGTTTGCTTGTGTGGTAAAATTGAAAGGTGTGTCCCAGTGGGTGCTAGAGTCCCACACTGCCCACAAAAGCCTGTAGTACTCACTGCGTAGTAATAATATAATAACATTTACTAAATATCTACTAAATTCTAGGAATGTGCTACCCCTGTTAAATCTATTATCTCACTTCTTTATAATAACCCATCAAAGGAAAATTGTCCCCCTTTATACCAGTAGAGAAACTGAGATTTATCAAGATCAAATTACTTGCCCAAGTAATAGCTAGTGAGTGTGGGAGCCAGCTCACAGTCAGGGCTGTAAACTCCACACTGTACTGTTACTCTTGCAGTGGGTCAGGGTTACTGTAAGCCTGCAGGGATGGGGAGTTTGGAGGCACTGCAAATCTTTTATCAAGGTCATTTGTAAAGTCACCTGCCTCTGGGCCATCCTAACCCAGAGCTAGAGGAGTGGCCTCTGTATTCCCAGCTCTTTCTGAGCTCCAGAGCAAGATCAGTGCCAGCCTAGAAATGCCAGTCTTGTCTTCAAACGTTCTGGATGAATGGAGTGAGCAGGATCCTGAGGGACTGAGGCATGGGATTCTCTAGGGCACTGCCTTTAGCATTGGAAGCCCTGGGCTCTAGGCCACTAGTTTAGTGGGGTTAACACACCAGCAATGGCTGGCTGTCTGCAGGGGCTAGAAGTGGATAATTTTTGAGAAATGTTTCAGCCTAACAAAGGACCTGACCCCTATAGTCACTCAGTTAGGATTTCATAAATGTATGAGGACACTTGAAAAGTACAAATACCAGGAATCAGCATTTGGATATTAAATTTCTACAGATTTCCTGGATGGAAAACTAAGATAACAAGAGACTTAAGTTTTTCAAATAGAGGAGAAAAAGTAAGCAAGAGTTAGGTTTGGTGAATTATCAAGGTGCTGCTGTTCACCTTTGGCCCTTGTTACTGCTCTGTGGCAGGAATTCTGCCTGGGTAAGATTCTGCCTCCATCAGAATCATCCTTTGAGGAAATGGTTTTGGTTCTGTCATTTACTTTCCAATGTCCACCCCTTTTCCCCAGCAGGTATATCCTAAGCCTGCTCCCCTCTCTACCCCAGCTCTGGCTGCCCAGACCATTGGGTATCAAGGTCATTATTATCCATTGTGCATTTATTGAGTGTCAAACAGGCATTGCACTAAGCCATTGACCTTCATCGTCTTATTTGTCCTCACACCAGAGGAGGTCTATCATTAGGCCGCCATGCCCTGACCCCACCACACACCCATCTCAGCTCTGTCTTCTTTCTGGCCCTTATAACCCTTAACTAAACCCTCCCCTTCACTGTGTTCTAGTCCCAGCTATACAACCCTAGAATAGCACACATCTTACAGCATTGTGAAAATTGGTCCATATTGTGTACCATTCTTCCATTCAACTCATGTTTATTGGGTACCTTCTGTATGTTGTATATTGTCCCCATTGGACTTGGAAGTCCTTTAGGGCAAGAGACCACTCCGTGTTCTTTCTTGTTGTGCATCCCCAGCACACAGCACTGTGTCTGGTTCATAGTAGGTCCTCGGGAAGTGTTTGCCAAGAGAAAGCCTCTACGTGGCGTCTACTTCTAGAACAGTCTTCTTTCAGTCCTTCCAACCTCAGACACTGGGAAATGGGAAACCTTCCCCTTAGCTCTTAGCTTAGTAGGGAAACACAGCTATGCTTCTGGACGCTTAACTCTTGGTGATCCCCCTAAGTAGAGGAATCCAAGCTGCAGTTAACTCCAGAGTCATTAATTCCTACATCATTCATTTTGTTCTGTGGATATATTCATTTATTCTTTCACTAGATGCTTAGCATTCTGCAGGTGTAAGGCTCTGTGCTGGGAGCTAGAGCCACTAAGGTGAATAAGATACACCACCCCTACACACACACACACACACACACACACACAACCATGACCTCAAGGAGATCAGCAGTCTAGACAGAGGGATGGTAAATCAAGGTCAGAATGGGTTAAGTATCATGGGTATGGTTCACTGAAGAACACTGCTAGGGGGCTTTTTAGGAGGAGGTAAGATCAGGGAAAGCTGTCTAGAGAAGATGGCATTGGATCTGGGCCTTAAAGAAAAATAGGATCAGGGCCTGAAAAAGTAGGTGGGAAATTTTTCCTTGTAAGACATAGAAGTAGGAGGGTATGTTTTGGGGGAGCACAAATGTCATACAGGTTATTAATTTGTCAATAATTGGCAGGGGTTAGACAGGGGTAACTCTCATTACCATGAACATATCACTACTTGTTTTTCTTTCCTTATCCCTACCACTCCCTCCTCATGTCTAAAACATAGTTCTGCTAGATTATAATCTGAAGGACTTTGTTCTGTAAAGAATGGGGGTAGGAGAGCCTTGTGTGGAGTGATGCTCTGTCCAGTCACATGAGATTCTTGGTCCTTCAGCTCCCACTCCCCAGGGATTCCATGTAAAGGTCCCTTTGCCTGTCAGCCCTGTGCTGGAGAAGAGCCTACAGAGGCCACCCCCTCAGTTTCTAGAAGAGGTAGATACTGCAGACAGTCTGCCTTGCTCCATCAGCAGGAGGAGACCAACGAGGCAGATTAGTCACTCACATCATTTTATCTGTTGAGTCAACATCTATTTTTAGGTGTGGAACCCATAAAGGGACTCGGCATCTCTGTCATGGAAAGGGAGAGAGTGCCAAGGGTGAGGGGGTCTGCTCATCCTTCATTCCTCTTTGCTAGGTACACTGCCAGACCCTTTCTCAGAAGCAAGTTCTCCTCCACTGCTGGAGCTTTAGTTCTTGATGCCAAGGGTCCAGTTTAACACGTACAATTTCTTTTGTACGCATGCTTTTGTGTGTGTACCACACACACACGCACACATCCATGCACATGCACACTCACTCACCCCCAGAGTCTTAGCAGATCTTGTAAATTGGATATATGGATTAAATAAGACTCCCAAATGAAAAATGCTAAGGCATATAGGTCCCTTCCTGTCCAACATTGTCAGATGTGCTCTGAAATGACTGTTTTCATCATCTATTCTGAGCCATAACCGCCCCAGAAATAGCTTTAGCAGGAAAGTGCTTTTGTTAGACTAGCTGTAAATTATATTTCAAATGTCTGATGTTGTTTTCTTAAAAAATAAATAAGTAAATGAAAGTCTAAAATTAATGACTGCTGGGGTTTGCTTTGCTTATGTGTACTGCTACAGATTTGGCTTCTTGCAGATGGAATTTCAGATCTGTTTACACTTCTGTGTTAGCTTTTTGGGGGAAAAAAAGCAGTTGAGAGATCTGGGAGGACAAATTTACAAAGTCGAACTTATTATAACCATCCGTGAGGCTCGCTTCCTTCTTCCACTGCCCTCTCCCTCCCTCCTTTCCCCTCTGCTCTCCTTTCCTTGATTATAGTTTTGTCTGCTCTTCCTCCACGTTAGAAGGTACCCGGTTCTTGCAGATGTTATGACAAGGTCATGTATCCAGTATCACAAGCAGATGTTCATGAAGCCCCATTTCATTGCACTTTGTCATTCAGCGAGAGCAGACCTTGTGGGAGCAGATTGGAACAACACAGAGGATGGGACATAAAAAATCTTGCAGAGAACCTGATCGCTTTAATGTGTTGAAGACGAAGGGCTTGGGGGTGGGGAGGGTGGCAAGGAGAGAAATCTGCAGAGCAGAATTTCACGGAGGTTTTTTTTTTTTTTTTTGGTTTATTCAAAGATTATTATGTGTTAGATACAGTAAATCATCTATACACCCACATCCAGGAGGTAAATCTTCAGAGCTCCATGCGTGGGTCGTTCTGCATTTAACAGCTGCCATACAGTAGCTATTTTGTTCTGCACTTAGAGACCCTTATCTGTGCATTTGTTTTAAGTTATCATCACTTCTCCTTTTGTTCCTCTGTTGCCGTTCTCGGGATTCGTATTACGATTACAAGAGTAGCTAAGAATCTGAACTACTGAGATATTTAAACGGCACCATGAGTTCGAATGATAGACAAGGGGCTGTCATCTCAGTTGTTGACTCAGTCTCTACTCAGAGGGTGTTGCCTGTAATGGATTTAGCTCCTCTTGCCTTTTCCTAGGTCTCATATGCCCGTCCGAGCTCTGCCTCAATCAGGGATGCTAACCTCTACGTTAGCGGCCTTCCCAAAACCATGACCCAGAAGGAACTGGAGCAGCTTTTCTCGCAATATGGCCGTATCATCACCTCTCGAATCCTGGTTGATCAAGTCACAGGTTAAGTGTTTCTTTGTCATTTCTTTCCTTGTGTCTCAATGCCACAGCCAGTGCCCTGTGACCCATAGGAGCAGAGAGATAATGGTTACTTAGGGTAAAGGGTATGGATCATGCGCAGACAGATTTTTGACATAAGAGAAAGATTTCTTATCAATCAAATGCCCACATTTAAAACGGGCCATCTTAGGAGGTAGATCTCCCATCATGGGAACTGTTCCAGCAGCAGCTAAACTACTTGGCAGGGCTATAAAGAGGATTCGGGCATCAGGTTGTGAGTGGGACTGAATGACCTTCAAAGTCTCTTTCAACCCTTAACCAAGTAACATTACTTTTGTATGTGAAAAGAACCTGTGTTAGAGCTCCAGCTCCAATGATATCATTATAGAGCTAGAGGGAACCGCATGCTGCCTCATTTCACACGTGAAAAAAGAGAGGTCTTAAGTGGGGGATCTGACTTCTGCCCAGCTAGTTAGTGGCAGTGCAGGGACATGAACCCAAGACCTGGTACTGTGGTACTTTGTCCATAATAAAGAAAGGCATCCACCACCTCTCAGTAAGAAATGTAAGGTAACCTGGGTTGCATTTTTATTGACAAAATGTTTTCACCTACTCTCCATTTGATCCCATTTTAAAACACCCCCTGAGAGCAGTTCAGTGTGTGTTTCTCATTCGACTCCTGCAATAGACCCTTACTGAAGCCAGCTCTGCCCCAGACACTGTACAGAGGGACACTGGGGGCCTGAGATGAAGGAGGCACAGTTCTGTCCTTGCAGGACTCCATTATGATGAGCACTTGCTGGGGGCTGTCCAGTGTACCACGGGGGCTCAGGAGAAGGTGTGCTGTGCCTGGGCGGGGGGAGGTTGCTGTGAAGGCTACATCAAGGAGGTGATATTTGAGCAGGGTTTTGGAGGATGGATTGAGGTTATCTGGCACAAAGAGGGACAGAAAATTCTAGGTGGACATGATGTGTCCAGTAGAATAGGTGGATAGGACATGTCATAAGGCATGGAGTCAAGGAAGAACACAGCCTGTTCAAGGAATATGTGGTGGTTCAGTATGGCTGGCATGAGACTCAACAGGGGATTTGGGACCACATCATCAGGAGCACTAAATGCCATGCTAAGAAAGTCTAACTTCATCTGTATGCAACATAGAGCCATGGGAGGATTTTTTGTGGGTTTTGTTTGTTATTCTGTATGTGGAGTGGGAGGCAGTGAGGAACAGGTACCACGCACAAAGTAAAGAATTGAAAAGTTACAAAAAATGTGTAAAAGATGCTTTGAAGGGGTGTAATGTGGTCAGAGTTTGCTTGTCAAATAGATTACATGGTTGCTAGGTGCAGAGGGCACATTGCAGGACTAGAAACTGGACAGTGGGTGATGGGTTAGAGCAACTAGAAGGAGACGAGAACTGAGCAATCTGGTGTAGAGGCTGGAATGGACAGATGTGAGAGGTGTCTGTGTTCTGTGGGTGGGCAGCACCTGCCCAGAGCCATGATGGAAGAAATGCAGGCAGATGCATTTTGATGGGTGAGAGAGATTCTGGGATAGTCAGCCCTGGCCCCACAAGTGGGGCTACTCCCCACTGGAGGTCCATGGGGCCCAGCCCATCTCTTCTCAGAGATATTTACCAATGTGCTTTGTTCACTCTTTATGAAGGCTCTTTCTCTTTCCCTAGGAGTGTCCAGAGGGGTGGGATTCATTCGGTTTGATAAGAGAATCGAGGCAGAAGAAGCCATCAAAGGGCTGAATGGCCAGAAGCCCAGCGGTGCTACAGAACCGATTACTGTGAAGTTTGCCAACAACCCCAGCCAGAAGTCCAGCCAGGCCCTGCTCTCCCAGCTCTACCAGTCTCCCAATCGGCGCTACCCTGGCCCGCTTCACCACCAGGCCCAGAGATTCAGGTAGGCACACCCATGGGGGAAAGAACGCTGCTCCACATGTACAGAGCTGGGTGGGGGCCAGGGAAACCCACATCCCAGAAAGATGGGACAAGCATAAGAACCTCTGTCCCCAGGAATCACTGTGTGAAGCTCCCTACTGAACCTCAGTTTCCACTACTGTTAAATGGGATGGTCCAACCAGATGCTCTACCAAGCCCCCTTTCAACTTACGACTGTGGCTGTGGTTAAACTTCAGATTCTTGGATTAAAACAAAATGTCTACATTTCATCAAACAAGAAGGTGTTCTGTTTCAACAAGTTAAATCACAAATAAGTGACCACATTCAGTAGCTTAGACTTAAGGCAGAGGGAGTGGCTTTTAACAAAGTCAAAGAAAAGTGTAGGCCAGGAGACAGATGATGGGTTGTTTGGCCTGTCCCCCTCTTTCTTCTACAGGTAACTCTGTTGGGTTGGGGAAGGGACAGGTACTCTCTTTTGTGTTAACTTCACTCTGACTGTTAAGTCAGTAGATTCTGGGACAAGAAGGAAGATTTTGTCTAAGACTTATTAGTGTTTCCTTCAGGTACCAAACCCTCCCGGTGCAATGGGGGCACTTCCCTTCTCCTGGGACATTTCTGAAAGGCAGGTTTCACTCCATGAAGGCAGTCTTACCTTGACTGCCTTTATTGTGCAAGAGTTAAGAATATTCTTGACCTACTCGTAATAATTCTAAATAATGATTTTATTCCACCCATGCCCCAACTTCCTTTTAATGAAAGGGTTTTTCTCCTTTTCACACATCACATGGGAAGATAGTAGGCCCTTCCATCTGGCCATGATGAGGAAATCAGCCTTAGCAGTGTCCTCCCATGCCCTGGGAATTTGAAATGGTTAATGATTTCATGAGGAGTCCAAGTCATCTAATTTTTATTTTGTGTGAGAGCACATGCAGTATTTATGTAAAAAGCCTTTCCAGCAGGCTTCTAATGGTGGAAACTATGGTTACTACTGCCCCATGGTGTGAATAGCTTGTCCCCAAGTAAAATACTGACCATGACGGAGATTACAACATAATGGCAGTTTGCTGGGAGGAGCTTTCAGGTTGCAAACAGTCAGCTCATTGTAAAAAATCTTAACCCCAAACTCCTCCTTCCCCCTCAAAAAAATGTGTGTGGTAAGAAGATTTAGTTAATGTAGCTAGATTAAGAGAAAAGATCTATCCTGATAATGCCTTGTGCATGCACGTGTATTCCTTTTATTCACAAGTTTAATTGCAGTAAAAGGTGAATTGTAATAAAAGGTGAACAACTTAAGAAGCTGCCCCCTTTTAACGGTCTCACACACAATATAAAATGACATCCACACAAATGTTCTGAGAGGAGGGGTGAGTGGGATTAATTCAGACCTTGAAAGAAAGGGAGCTTCATTAGACACTTGCTTTAAACTCCAGCATTGACCTGAACGTGGATTACTCATAGTTGGAGGCAGAAAAGGGGGAAACGACCAGTGGATAGACTTCTAAGCATTGGGGAAAGTTGTCGAGCTTTTCTTCTTTGAAAATGGAGCATTCTTATTAATAGTTCCATTGAGCGATCTTGCCATCTGTGAGGCATTAACCCAGAGACCCTCCTTCTCTTTGCAGGCTGGACAATTTGCTTAATATGGCCTATGGCGTAAAGAGGTAATTAAAACTCCACAGATTGCCAGATGTCCGTGTTGGCACAGACTGGGGCTAGAAATTTTTTTTTTTTTAATTCACTAACTTTACTTTTTTTTTTTTAATTCTTCCTTTTTCCTCCACCAGCATGTCAAATTCTTAATTTTAATTTCAGACTTCAGTTGGTTTTGTTTCTTTTAGGGCACACAAAGCGTGTTTGTGTGTTTCACTTTTTCTTTTATTTGCAGGTGGGCTTCTCCTATGGTTCAGGTGCCACAGCTACCAAGCCCTTGATAATCTGGTTCTCTAGATGGCTCCCCCAAGGGAGAAGGCTCCTAGTCTTTGCCAGCTGACTTTGCAAACTTGCAGAGCAACTGTTTTGCATTAGCAATGCCAAGATTCAGTTAAGAGGGCAGATTCCAGCATTTCAAAATTAGAACACTTTGCTAATCACGGTTGACAATCTTATGATTGTCAGTGGAAAAATTAGATTTTGGACTACCAGCCCTTGGCCAAAGCATGAATAAACTTGTGGAGGACCTGCTGACTCCCACCCCCAGTTCAGTGTGCATTTCAGGGTACAGCCTGAGAATGAAGTGTATCTGTGTGCACCTCAACCAGGAGTTTCTTTTGTTACAGGTTTTAACAGTTATTATAAATCCTCCCTTGGTTTTATACATGAATATATGTTTTACACTTGCAGTTTCTTTCATTTAAAGCCTTTCTGTGGGGTTGGGGGTTCAAATAGAATCGAGGTTTGTGGGGGCTCTCTGAATGCAGTCACAAGAGTGATCCAGACCTAGTCTGAAAGCTGAATCTCAGGAAGTTGAGTGCGTTATGTCACTGTGTCCATGAGATTCCCATATGTGCTTTTGATAAGCTCCACTGAGCTGCTAGGGACATAGCATCTTCATCATCCTGCTCAGTAGAGCTGCACACTTTAATTCCCCTTCCCACAGTCAGGGAAAGCAATGTGGTCTTTAGTAGTCCCAGTCACATCCCCCATATGAGGCAGCTCTTTCACCACTTGGCCATGCGTGGTAAGTACCCTGACTCTGGAAACTGCACACAGTAAAGGGAATAACTTGACTGCAGACTTCACTTCGAGAGTACCAGCCTCTTGAATCTCAGTCCTGGCACCAGTGAGGATAACTGAATTACTTCCACGTGTCTAGCACACTGCTTGCCTGTTCCCACTCTCACTTTTGCATTTTTCCCACTCTGCCCTTTGCTCCCCTCTGACTTGAGTGAGGCGGCACCAGTTACAGAAAGAGGAATGCTCATGCACGGACGAGGACAGGGAAGGCACACAGTTGCAGCGTGCATGCCGCCACCCCCTCTGCTTCCCCACTCAGAGCACACGTCACTAGTGGATAAGAGCACTCTCCTTTCCTATTAAGCCCAGGTTTGGATCCAGGCTCCTCCCTACCAAAGTGCTCCAGGTAGCCATTCCCAACTAGAATTGAGACTCTCCTTGAAACCTCTTTGCTGGCTCCTGACTTTGGCCTTAAAATAATTACTTATAGCTGTTCTCTACCTTTAAACTGAGAGGAGTCAATTCACTCAGTTGGAGGAGAGAAGGTTGAGAAGACAGTCTTCAGAAATAATGCAAATAATAGTTAGACATGCATTTGCCCTTCTAAGAATTCTTACCGTGATGATTTTTGGTTTTGTCTCGTTACTTTTTTTTTTTAATGTCTATTTATTTATTTTGAGAGAGAGAGAGCAGGGGAGGGGAAGAGAGAGAGAGAGACAGAGAATCCCAAGCAGGCTGCACGCTGCCAGCACAGCACCTATGTAGGGCTCAAATTCACAAACCATGAGATCATGACCTGAACCAAATCAAGAGTCAGAGTCTTAACTGACTGAGCCACCCAGGTGCCCCTTGTTATTTGTTTTTTAGCAAGAGGGAAGATTGACTTAGTGAATAATGCCAAAATTAATACCTATTGAGTTATGTTTAGCATATCTACAGCAGCCACTTGATTACCTAAATTCTAGTTACATGCAGAACTATTCTTCCATAGGACTTTCCAATCTCCAAGAACATTTGCTTATTTTTAAAACATCCTAAGTAACACTTTACCCCATTCTTGTCCCCAGTTTTTGCTTCCTTTCCTCCTCCTATCCTCCTTTTCAGAAAACAAAAACAAAACCAAAAAAACCCAACCACATGAAAACGAAGACACTAGTCAGTGGATATGGACAAAATCCCTGTATATGTTTAGTATAAAACAAAAAGTTAACAAATATTTTTCTGCTGTAGGCACTGGTAACATAATCTGATGCATCCATTATGAATCACACGGTATATATTTTATCAGACGGTGAATAAAATCTGAAGGGTTGTTTTTCTTTTCATGATAGTAGCATGAAAACTGAGATTTCAAAGGTTAATACAAAAGAAGTTATAATAGGCAAGTAACAGTTTCCTGCTTTTCTAATTCAAGTTATATAAATGCACAAACCACTTGAAATCTTACTCCTGTGATGCTTAGAAATTAATTCCAGATAATACAGCATCAAGGAGTAATCTGTCGTTAATATTATTGGTTGGGCTTTTTTTTTTTGAACTCTTTTAAATAAATGCTAAATGAAACATGAGCCACCCATGTGGTTAATAACAAGGCATGTCTGTTCATTGTCACACATCTCTGTCCACAAAATATCAAGAGATCTTTGACAACCATAAGTCAGGGGACTGCAAAGATGGTAGACTTGAAAACTCCTCGGGCCATCCCCTAATCTGCCTTAAAAATTAAAAAAAAAATTTCCCAAGCTTTGATATCCACCAGTGTTATTCACTTATGCAGTCAATAAGTATTTATTATTTTCTATGTGTCACTATGTCTGTGATAGTCCCACATGTGCCTCAGTGAATAAATAAGTAGAGCAACAGAATGAATGAAATAGAGCCCCTCCCCCAAGAGCTGTCTATTGTGGAGAGGGAGGATAAGGGTCAGAGTGGGATACCCTATGACCATATACTGTGGTAGAAGTACGGTAGAGCCTTGCTCTAGGAGTTTCTTATGGTTATTAGGAATTGACCTAGCTTTTCTCTTGGCATTTATGTCCCTTAGCCAGTTGAGCCATTCCATTCAGAAGAAATGCCACAGACATTAGTTGTTGCATTTTGGTTTTTAAACCTTGAAGACTCTCCTGCAAACACTCACTCAGCCCTCTGCCCCATGTCTGTGTCTGTGCATCTGTGTGTTATCCGTGGTCAGACTGATGTCTGGACCAGTCCCCCCTTCTGCCTGTCCCCCCAGGTTCTCCCCAATCACCATTGACGGAATGACAAGCCTTGTGGGAATGAACATCCCTGGTCACACAGGAACAGGCTGGTGCATCTTTGTCTACAACCTGTCCCCTGATTCCGACGAGAGTGTCCTCTGGCAGCTCTTCGGCCCCTTTGGCGCAGTGAACAACGTTAAGGTCATCCGCGACTTCAACACCAATAAGTGCAAGGGATTCGGCTTTGTCACCATGACCAACTATGATGAGGCAGCCATGGCCATTGCCAGCCTCAACGGGTACCGCCTAGGAGACCGAGTGTTGCAAGTTTCCTTTAAAACCAACAAAGCCCACAAGTCCTGAATTTCCCATCCTTACTTATTAAAATATATATATAAATATATACGAACAACACACACACACACATACACACACACACACACACACACACAAAAGAGAGAGAAACAAACTTTTCGAGGCTTATATTCAACCATGGACTTTATAAGCCAGTGTTGCCTAAGTATTAAAACATTGGATTATCCTGAGGTGTACCAGGAAAGGATTTTATAATGCTTAGAAAAAAAAAGAAAAAAAAACAAAAAAATACCTTTGATGCATTGAATGTTCTTTCATAGCTGTCGTTGTTGAATATAATATACATAGATAGCGATGTGCAGGGATTTTAACCCAGCCAGCTAACTTTACTACCTTCCTTGAAGGTGGGTCTTTTTAAGATGACCATTCGCTCATTTGAAGAAGAAAAACAAAAAACAAAAAAAAAATAAAAATAAAACAATTTTTACAAAGTAATGGGATTCAAAGAAAGAAAAAAAAGATTTTTTTTTGTCAAAAAGTTGATCCAATCAGATTGGTAAAAAACCCCCCACACAAATTAAAGAGGAATAATAAAAATTGCAAAAATGAAAAAAAAACTTTTGCAAATTTTTTTATTTTTCCTTTTTTCTTTTATATCATGTGAACTAAAAACAGTCTTCTGTTAGGGGATGGGGGCAAGGGGGATACCTGATGACATTAACAATTTAATAACATTAACATTGTTGCCAAAGAGGTGGTCTCTTTGCTGAAAATGGGTTTCAAGAAAAATCTATTTTTATAAAATATAAAGAATTTTTACAAGAGAATCTGGATTTGAGAAAAAAATATTTTGACTGGCTAATTTAGGGGAAATTGACAACTTTGTCGCGTTCATACTGCACTGGTAACTTTTTAGAGATCAAGATGTGTGTTTTAAACTGGATTCGTAGACTGTTTTTTGAAGGATGGGCTATAAACAGATGATCTTCATATCTTTTCATAGCATGTAATAATAATAAAAAAACAATTATTAATTACTAGGGGAAAGGAGTGTTCGTTCTACCCAGGGTACCACAGTTCCCCACAGTCAAAACCCAAAAGCAAGGAGATGAGTTGAAAGACAGTTTTTCTTTAAGTCATCAGTATGGGATGTCAGCAGAACAAAAATTAAAAAGATTAATTTTCCTTTTGATCTAAAACTTCCTTAGTTTGAGCAGTAGGTGCTACGAAATTATTTACATATCTTAGTATCATAGTTAAATGTAATGTGTTTAGGAGAGGAAAACAAAAGATACATTTGCTTTAAATTCATTAAGGAATTTTCAAATTCACTTTGTAGCCCATGCTGGTAGAATTGGGCTGTGTTGGTACATTTGAAACACTGTTTATGTTGCTTGAAACACTTATTTATTTAATCGCCGATGTGATGATGCCTATGGCCGAGATCAAATATAGCTAGATTGGCTAGACTACTTATTTGTTTACTTAAACTATGGGAAGAAGCATATTATTGTGTCATTCTGTTGTGTGTGTATGTGTATATACAATATAAATATATATATATAAAGTTATTTTTTCTTTGGGTTAATTTATTATAAGTTGTAACACTTGGCTAGTTTTGTTTGTATATGTCTTAAAATGTTTTCTTATGATATTTAAGTGACAGTTAAAGAGGTATCAAGGTAACTTGTGTAGAACTATTGTTTGATATATTGTCATGTTTGTTGTGAATATTTTTTCTTACTGCACAGTAGAAAAATAAAAACAACTGGGTCTTTATTTTAATGTAATTCAGATTGGGGAAAAAAAAACAGAGCTAAGGGAACAAAATGACTGAGGGAGCATTCTCCCACGTCCAGTGCACTGATCATTTTAGTATGTTTGTGCTTTGTACGGTTATATATTTAAAACAAAAACAAAACAAAAAAATACAAGGGTTCATGCTCTTCCCTGGGTAATAGAAACAGTTACTCGCTATGCATAATCTAGTTGATAGTTAAATTTGCTATTGCTTTTCTTGTCTTGTTATATAAAATCTTTTCAATACAAGTTTAGTCTTAATGGTAATAAAACGTTATGGTTATTTATAACTTGTGCTTATTTTGTGCGTTTTTTCCCATGCTGAACCCACTAAGTGCATGTAGACAGAACTGTTGTTTTCACACTGAAGAGGCAAACTGTAGTAGTAGTCGTAGTGGTAGACAGATAACGAAAACCAAGGCTGCATCATAGACTCCTCCTTTAAATTTTTTTTCTGTTTTTTTTTCCTCTTTTCGGTTTTGAAAAAAAAAAAAAAAACACCAGATTTCAGTTCAGAGAACACTCGTTCAACATTCAGGGAAAACTTTTTACATCACCTGCTATGAATGAACGCAGTTTGCTGGCAAAGTTTTGATGCATTTGCTAAGCATTAGTGGGAAAGGCGTGCCAAAATCTCTTCTCTATAATGTGTTCACTCTTGGGGGAAAAAAAAAGGAAAAAAAATCTTAGGACCAGGCAGTTGTATACTTTAGTTATAATGAATGACTTCATGTTAATCTTGCTAGTTTAGATGATTTCTGAGGGAAAGTATTGTAAATGTTTTTTTTTTCATAATCTTGTTGTGTTTGAATTATTTGTACTTTATCTGTCCAGACAATAAATGAAAGTGTGTAGAATGGATTTGAGCTTCCCAGATTTTTAAATGTGTTCATTCAAACTTTTTTTGTAGCATCTTCAAATTTCCCCAGTAATTTTATCATTAAACAAACGCAAAAAAAAAAAAAAAAAAAAGGTAGAGTAAAATTGTGTTTTGCAACTTAGCCCAGTCTCTCAAAGTCAATTCGGTATTCAAAAGTCATTGCCCTAGTTCCATACCAGTAAAAGTGTGGGCTCCTGCCGGCAGTATCCACATCATCTGGGAGCTTGTTAAAATGCAGAATCTCGGGCTGAATGCAAATCTATATTTAACCAGATCCCCAGGTGAATCACTGGTACTTTAAAGTGACGAACACTGCACTGATTGATAAGAAGCTGGTACATTTGGCATTATGTTTGGCATTGTGATACATTTAGTGTTGGTTATTCATTTATAAGCATATTTGTGACTTGTTCAGAAGAAAGGAAGTCACTGCTTGCAGAGCATCTCCTGTCAGGCTGTGTGCTGTCCTCTACATTCTCTCACTTTGTCCTCCAGCAATCTGGGAGAGGTGGATAGCACTGTCCTCATTTCACTGATGGTAAGACTGAGGCTCAATGAGATTAAGTAACTTGAAACAGCTGGCAAGTCTCCAGCTGGGGCTTGACTCCAAGTCTGAGTCGACTGCACAGCACCTCAGCGTTGAGACTGCAGAGCTGGAGCAGTCTTTAGGAAACAGACCATTTACATTGGAAGTGGTAGCAAAACAAGAAAGGTTACCTTGTTATGTTAGCATTCATTTTTGCTTAGAAGTAGCAAACATTTGACTTTCTTACTTCCAATAGAAACCTAAACAAGGACTTAACTTATACAGTGTATAAAAACATGGATTTTAAGCTCAACCTCAAGGGGGGGACGAAATGTCTAAGGTATCATGAAGTCATATTAAAATGTTCCCTTAAATTTACAGATGAGCTTTTTAGTGATTTCCCGATACAACCACTCATTGATGATCTACTGTCTTTCGTTTTCATTTTCTCACTAATTGAAAATTCATAATACCTCATAAAACATCACCATCCATAAACTGACACTAGCAGAAGAAATGCCTCTAAGTGAGCCAGATGAAGAAATAGTCAGATTCTCTTCCATTTCTCATTACCCTTCCCCTTTTTTATTATTATATTAAATTACCACAGTAGTTGGGATAATTAAATTCAGGGCAAAGAATGGGATTTAATTAACCAAGCTAAATATTAAAACGAAGTCAGCCTGAACTTTACATAGATGAACTTGAGGGTTCTTATTTCAGTTTTATTTAAAGACAAGTCCCTAAGTTTCTTTTCTGAAGAAAAATGCACAAATAGCTGCCCCCAGGGAAAATGGCTTCACAAACATGTGTATAGGGTCTAAAAATGTTACTGCTAAACCTAAGATAGTTATTACCAATCATCACCATCTCTGATCCTTAAAAGTGTCATTTTAGTGTACTTTAAATGAATGGATACATTCTTTTGGAATATTGGAAGTTGGTGGAATCTTACCAGTTCATGTAGTTCACTCCCCAGCCTGCAACAGACCTATCTTGACAGTTTCACAAAGAGCTGTACGTGTTTAAATAGGTCTTTAAAATATCCATGGAAGGCCATTCTATATACACTCTCTTGGTAGCACTTCCCAACATCAGCATAACATGTCTGCCTAACAACTAATAAAAAATTCATTTTGCTGTGAGTGTAAGCCTGTACCTTAAATCTCCAGACAAACGTTATATAGTTTCTTGTAGGTGTTTGTGGGAAAGTTTTAGCAAATCACAAGAAAGCAGAGGCTATTACATTTTTTTTTAGGTCCTAGGTACGTTATGTTTTACTTGGATGAAAAATTGCATGTCAGGGAAGGCTGAAGGCATTTACTTAGTGTTATTTTTCTCAGACTGATAGGAAGAGTGCAAAAAACATGTGCTTGTGTCTGTAACCATCCTACATCATCACCACCAGCATCAAAACTACTTACATCTGACCAAAAGGATCAAAGAGTGACCAAATGTTAGTTACAGTCAGAACAGTTTATCAACTTGGGTCCTGTTTAAATTTCTTTCATCGAGATCAGTCATTATTTGTTCACTTATAAATGAAACATTTAAATCCCAAAGAACAACACTTAAAAGTACATTTGAAACTCACAAAGTCTCATAGGGCTCCTGTGCAGTCAGTATTTGTGTCTGACTACCTTAACCTTGTCAAAATTTGGCACTTAATCACCTTTCACCATAGGCAATTCAGGAAACTCAGTTCCAATTGTTTTGCCCTTACTTTCTGTAAGTACTATGCATTTGTTCTTCAACAGACATATACATGCAAATACACAGAGGCAAGCATTTGTACAACTGAATAGGAAATGGGGTGTTTTACTTTCACTTGCAAATTCAAAA